TCTTTCCCTGTCGGCAAGCCCTGTCAGCACTGCCTGGGCTCTGGTTGTGCACTGGGAGACCCCTCCTGGGCAGAGGGATGGATACCTGCTCAGCATGCATGAGGAGGGCTCTTCTGCACCAGCAAGGACCCTGGAAGCAGGGAAGGACAGCACCAATGTCACACTGGCACGGCTGGCACCAGGAACTTGCTACCTTGTTGGGATCTGGGCAGTAGCTGGACCCTACCGCTCCCTCCCCAAGAACGTCACTGGCTGCACAGGTGAGCATCCATATCACCCACGGGTGATTTGGGTGGGAGCACTGCAAGGAGCTCCAGAATGGGATGGCAATCAATGTTGGCATCCAGGGAGAGGAGGGCACCCTGGCCTGGTTCCCGGTGATGCTGGCCTGCAGTCATCTCCTGCCTCTTGCAGCCTTCTTGTACCACGTAGGCACAGCGCTTGCTGGCCGGTTGCTGCTGGCTGCCTGGGGACAGCAAGACTCCTCCCCGGAGACAGCTGCATGTTCAGAACTGGATCATTTTCTCTCTGACTCATGTGTCTGTCTTTCCTCGCAGTTCCTGCTGCACCGACAAACCTGAGCCTTACCAACCCAGGCAGCTCCTCAGAGCTTTACACGTGCTGGAACAAGCCCCGTGGTGGGAGGGACCACTACCGTGTTATTCTGTATAGCCTCAGCACCCAGAGCAGGGATCGGGTCCAGACCTTGAGTCCGGATGCCCAGAACATCACCTGGACTCACTTGGAGGCAGGCAGCAGGTTTGCTGTGCAGGTCACTGCTGTGAAAGGCTCGTTCGAAGCCTCCTCCACCAACGTCACCCAATGGACACGTAAGTCTGATGGGTTGGGTTGGACACAGCACTCCATTGTGCCCCAGAGCACGCACCGCCACCTTCTCCATCCCAAACCACCCCTGCTGTGCCCCTAGCTTCTACACAGTTGTCCCACCTTTTTGCTCACTATCCTCACCCCTTCCGCGACACAGAGCCAATCCCCCCTACCCACCTTAAAGGCCCTGGGTATCTCCCCTGCCATGTCCAGCTGCAAGCCCTGGGGATATTGCACTCAGAGCCATGTGCACTGTCTGCCCATTTGTACCCGTGCTTCTCTCTGGTGGCCAGCCTGCCCACCACCCAGTGGAAGCTGGGGGCTGGAGTCCAGCCCGTGGCACTGCCAGAGCACAAGGAACCACTGGGCAAAGCAGCCGGCTTGTAGCACTGAGCAGCAAGCGGTAACATGCAGGGGCTGACTATCTCCCTGTTGCTTTCCAGATCCCTTGGCCCCTGCCAACCTCACCCTGGGCAGCCCCTCTGCCTCCACACTGCAGGTCTCCTGGGCAGCAATGGGGCGAGGAGCAGAAGACTACGTGGTGGATGTCTATGACACAGCCTCCAGCAGTCGTGTTGGGCGCATGGTGCTGGGTGGGGATGCCAGGAGTCACACCTTCAGGAACCTGAGCCCCGGCACCCGCTACAGCGTGGCAGTGAGGGCCACAGCTGGGCCCTTCCACACCAGCACCCCCAACCTCACCCACTGCACACGTGAGTATGATGCCCTCCTTGCAGCCAGGTGTCCTCCACCAGATCTCCCCCTTCCTGGTTCAAATCAGAGGCCATACTCGTGCAGCCAGATCCTGCCTTCCTCTCCCACCCATGCAAGCGCCTAGTGCTCATGCCCTGCTGGATGCAGCATGGGGAGTCTGTGCATGACCCTGTGGCCTGGCCACCCATGTCCCAGGGAGCCGTCCACAGCCATCCACAGCACCAGGGAGGAGGCAATCCCAGGAGGCAGCTGCCACAGAGTCAAGGGCAAAGCCACCCCTTGGGACCTTGCAGGGCTGACCCACCTCCTGAAGCACAGGCTTAGCACAGACATAGAGCATCTCCTTTCCCTCAGCCTGAACGTGGCTCCTGGCAGTGACTTGTGTTTCCTCCTCAGGCCCGCTGCCCCCAGCTGCCGTGCACTGGCCCACCACAGGGCACCCTGACAGGCTGAGCGCGTCCTGGGGAGCTGCGGCCGGGGAGCGAGACAGCTACACACTGACCCTGTACCGCACGTGGCTGGGCACCGTGGCAGCTACAGCCTCACTCAGGAGAGACACCCACAACTTCACCTTCATGGGCCTGACCCCAGGATACGAGTACTCCCTGGAGGCCAGTGCCACAGCTGGACCATACCAGGCAGCAGCACCCAACATCAGTGGCTGGACACGTGAGTGCCCAGAGGAGTGTCCTCTGCAGAGGGGTGGGAGATGTTGCACCACTGGACAGCCCTGAGGAGGGCTGGGAGTTTACAGGGGTCCTGGTGCCTTTGAAGATGTGCACGCATATGTGCATGGGTGCAACACGCAGCAGTTAGTGCATGGCACACTGTTACCCTCATGGGTACATGGATGTCCAACTGTAGACTTGCACAAGTACGTGCTGATGACATGCAGGGCTACCCAGCTGTGCCCATGGGGGACACCCCTCTGCCCATGCAGCCCCATCTCCCTGTACACAGGAGCACTCGCACCCTTGCCGAGTCTCCTCCAGCAGGTAGAAATGATGTTACCATAAAGGTCCATGAATCGGTGTAGTAGAAGAGGCTAATCCACAGTCCTCCCAGGAGAACGGGTCTTTGCTAGTCCAGCACTCCTCCCCACCCAGAAAGATTTTAGGGCTGGACAGAGTGTAGACACTGTGCCAGCTCTGCCCAGGCAGCTGCATGCCAGCTGGGTGCTGGAGGACATGTGTGCACGCAGTGGTGGCAAAGGCACTCCAGCTGGGCTATGGGTATGAGGGTGACCTGGATGAAGAAAGGTTGGCATGTGAGGGACCACAAAGGGTGAGCAGCATTAAAGGTGAGGTGGGATGGGGATGGAAAAGAGAAAAGTGAGGAGGAGGAGTGTGCCAGAGGGGGCCTTCGTGTCCCAGCCCTCAGGGAGCATCTGTTCTGCTGCGCAATGTCCCGTCAAGTGTGTTTCCTTCTGCACAGTCTCCGGTCCCTAACATCAGGTCTGGTGACTCCCCAGGGCCGCTGCCCCCAGCCATGGTGCGCTTGCTGAGCATGGGGCACCCCAACAGGCTGAGCGCGTCCTGGGGAGCCGCAGACGGGGGGCGAGACGGCTACGCACTGACCCTGTACTACGCACGGCTGGGCACTGTGGCAGCTACAGCCTCACTTGGGAGAGACATCCACAACTTCACCTTCACGGGACTGGCCCCAGGAAGCAAGTATGTGCTGGAAGTGGTGTCCATGGCAGGATCCTACCGGACACCTGCAGGGAACGTCAGCAACTGGACGTGTGAGTACCCTGTTTTGAAGGTGATGCATGCCTTGCTGGGCAGTCACAAAGTCTCATGGCAAAGGACACGGCCCCGCTGACCTTCATGGCAGACCCTGAGTCCTGCCTGAACCCAAGGGCACGTCAGTGCCATGGCACTGAGCAGGGCTCTGCCCACCCTCAGCATCAGCTCTACCAGCCTGGATTAGACCAGCTGCAGCTCCAGGAGCTATGCTTCAGAGGAGAGGCATGGAGGAGGAAGCAGCGGACAGGGGCATTCACCCTTCCACTCCCCTCCAGCCAGCTGGGTGCTCCCTCCTCTCCCATCCCTGGGTGTCTCGCTCCAGCTAGGACAGGGCTGTCTCTGCTCAGACAAGCACTACTTGAAGCTTGCAGAAGCTGCTTTTAGCTGCCTCCAGGCAGCTGGATGCAGCCGTCCAGGCAAGACAAAGTGCCCTGTCCTCTATGGTGCATCCCTTCTGATGACACTGCCGAGATACCCAGGCAATGTCCTCAGACCCTTCACTGACGTCTCCTATATACCCAGGCAATGCACTCAGACCCTTCACTGACGTCTCCTATCCTGTCTCTCCAGACCCCCTGGCACCCCGTAACGTGTACATGACGAACCAGGGGTATCCCAACAGACTGAGCGCATCCTGGCGAGCTGAACCCCAAGGACAAGACAGTTACAGGCTCCTCTTGTATCACTCGGGATCAGGTATTGTGGCAGCCAAATTATCTGTTGGGAAAGGCATCAGCAAATTCACCTTTTCTGGCCTGGCTCCAGGACACAAATACCTGCTGGAAGTGATGTCCATGGCAGGGCCCTACACAGCCTCCGCAGGGAACATCAGCGACTGGACAAGTAAGTGGCAAGAGCTGGAGGTCCTTGCATCATGCATGAGGCTCAGCCTTCCCCAGCCAGGTGGGGTCAGCACCTGCGGTGGGAAGGGGCAGGGACGGGGCTGGGACTGCTGCCTGGAAGCTGTAGGTACCACCATAGCAATGGGATCACGGGCTGTGCAAGCCCCCAGTGGAGGGGAGAGCAGGGCAATACTGCTGCCCACAAGACAGTCTGGCAGCTGTTGTTGCTGTTTCAGGAGGCAGACCTCCAGCTCCTGGCCCCGCTGTTCGCACAGGCTGGCTCCTCCAGGCATGGGTGACTGAACAAGAGCAAGGGATCCCAGAGTGCTGCTCTGGTAGAGGGCACCCACAGCCTGGGAGACCACGAGGCCTTACAGCTGGGGGGGACACACCACCATCCCCACTGCCTTTCTCCCAGGCACTCAGAAAATTCCTGGCATGGGGGATAAGGGGAGGCTGGGCTTTTTTTTTTTCTTAAGGAATGTGGAAATTGCAGATAAGCACAATAAGCCTTTTCATGTGCTTGTCCTCACAGTCCCTGCACTTTGTTTGGGGAATCCAGAGGTCTCTGCTCCCATGCTCACCCAGCCGCTGGCAGAGTGCTGGGAGTCATGTGCAGAGCCCTTCAGGCAGGTCTCTAATGAAACTTGCTAATTAACAAGAGGAAGAACCCATCTCCTCATGCTCCTCACTCTGCATGTCCTCCAATTGCCATTTAAAGGTCATTTCTGGTAGTGACAGCCAGCAGCTGCAGAAATATTATCACTGAACACCTGAAATTTCCTTGCATATTACCCATCTTCTGCTTGTATCTCTACAGGATGGAAGAGAGTACATGCATGCCAGTAACTCTCCCCTGGTGTGGTTTTCATTGTAGCCCCCTCAGTTCCCAAAAATCTCTCTGCGGTGGCTGAAGGAAACAACACGATGCTCATCTCCTGGGGCAGTGTCTCCGGACAGCAGGACGACTGCCAGCTGTGGCTGCGGGATCCCAGGAACAGCACACTGCCCTGGAGGCATGCTCTCAGCAGAGGGCAAGTCCAGCACCTCATCCAAGGGCTGATCCCAGGGAGGAACTACTCTGTCTCCTTGAGCTGCGTGGCCGGGCCCTACTGGAGCAGCACCAAACCCTTGGCAGTGCCGATGGGTGGGTATGCGCTGCTGTGGGGATGGGGGCAGTGCAGGCTGGAAGGGGGAGAAACACCTGGGTGGCCTCAAGACTGGATCAGCCTTTGCTGGTCAACAGAAGCGTGGGAAGTCTTCATGGTGGGAGAAAAGGAAAACCAGCAAGGTGATCCTCCGGTAGCCATCAGCTCCCTAAACTAGCTCCATCACAGAGGTTTCCCATCACCTCGTGGCCTGGCTATCTGTGAAGCAAAGCGGACTCTGAAGAGATCTCCATTGGTCTGCTTCTCCTATAAGACATCTGCTCAGGCCCTGACCCCTACGCCTTGTCCTGTGGCCCTTGGCACAGAAGGCTCCCAGGTTGCAGATGTCCAGCTCTGTTCCTCTCCCATTGACCTAGGGACAGGCAGCAGAGGACCATAGTGGCTCTGGGCTGATGCATGGGCTGAAGTTGGATTTCTGTGATCCAGTAAGTACAGAGCCTACCATATCTCCTTTGCAGAGCCAAACCCGGTGGAGGATGTGCAATGCCTACCAGAATCAAGGAGCCTTTACTTGAACTGGACCAGTTCTCCTGGAGATGTGGAGGCTTATGAGGTGGTGACAGAGAGACTCTCTGATGGACCTCCCACCTCCAAGTATGTCATGAGCATCCCTACAAGTGAGGCCAGTCTGGAGGGGCTGGGGCCAAACTCATCGTACCGAATTGTTGTGAGCACAGTGGGCATGAACACAATGAAGAGCCAGGCTGTGACTCTGCTCTGCAACACAACAGTGGAGGGTGAGTCCCCTTCTTTCCCACAGCCTTACCACAGACCACAGGAGAAGCCACCCAATGTTGCTAATTAGACCCGGGGACTCTTTTAGATGCCTGTGAGCCCCATGTAGTCCTGCACTGAACTGCAGTGGGTCAGGGCTCTGGGCAGTGATGCTCAGACCAGTGACAGGCTGAGCAATGTGTGGTGGGTCTGTGGGAGCAGGGACACACTAACAGGCTATGTTTGCTGGTTCCTCTTCCAGCCCTGCCTCCGCCCCTGCGAGCAGACATCTTCCAGGTGGAGGCCAGCTCCACGGTTATCATTTCATCTGACCTGTTCAGCGAGGAGAACGGCCAGATCGAGTATTATGGTGTTATTGCTACCACTAACGATTCATGTAAGTGCCCCTGCACATCCCAATCTGCAGTGGCTCCCTGGAGGGCAGCAAGTCCCCTGGACATCACTTTGGGACTACCACTGTCACCTTGTACCTTCTCCTTCAGTGCTGAGGCCCACCCCGGAAATCGTGTCCAGCACATGGTATGACCACTATTATGGGACAGAGGACTCCTACCTGGCTGTGGTAATCCCCAATCCCTTCCATCCGAGCCCCAGGAGCTCCCCCGAAACCTGGCGAGTACCAGTGGGAACAGAGGAGTGTGGCCAGTCCAGGGCAACGTGCAACGGGAAGCTGAAAGCCAACGAACAGTACAGGTGAGAGGTGTCAACATCCCTCCCGAGGGAAAGGGGCTGGAGGAGAAAAAGGACTGCACGTGTCCCTGCAAGGTGCCACCAGCTCCCTGGATGTCACCTCACCCTCGTACTCCCCAGACCCCCAACAGTGGACCCCAGGGGTTGCTCCACCAAGCAGCGTTTGAGGGATGCAAGGGCTGGCGTACCGGAGAAAGTGGGCAGGGAGAAGGAGAGCAGAAGTGAAAGCTGAGGCTGACAAGGGCTGTATGTGGTGCCTTGGGAGCTGGGCAGTTGTCCACCTCCAGGGTAAGAACTAAAATGGATGCTGTTATTTGTAGGACTTTTGCATGTGACTCAGAGCCACGTGCAGACTCAGAGAGTGCAAAAATGAAACTGATTCGGAAACATTAGTTCAAGTGGTGCCTACACAATTGGGGGCTCAAAGGTTGAGGGTAGCAAACGCACAGGCTAAGGTCCAAGCTCCCCATAAGACACACACACATATCACAATATTCATAAATTCAGAGTCTTATTTGACAGTAAACAGAATCCAGGAACATGAATGTACAAGCATACGTATTTTGTTATAGGGTACCTTTAAAATAGTTGATGGTAAAACAGGTTTTCTACTACAGACAAAGAATCATATCTTTAGTCAGTCCTCTGTTAATTTAGCAGCTCACAATTTCATCAAACAGGGACCATAACCCCAGGCATTCCTCTGACAAAGGGATCCCCCAGAATCTGGAAGGTTGTCCCATTTCAGTTTAAAGAAGCTACAGCAAGGGTGGCTGACTAGTGATAGAAGTTGCTGAGAGTGTTGAGAAAAGAGAAAGAAAGACCGTGACAGAGTGTATGCGTGGGAGCAAGCTTCACTTTCCCCTATGAGTAAAGTGAGAATTAGATCTGCCCCTAAGTTTTGTGGTGAGTGGAGTCAAGGTCCCTGGTGTTGGGTTTGGACCTGCTGGCTCTCCTTCCTTTCGTCTTTTCTGCTTTGCTCTTTCTACTTTTGCTATGTGCCAACTCCGCACTTACATGAAAAACTTACACTGATTCTCATGGTGTCATTTTAGATTTACACGTTGCCATACAGGGGCTTTTAACTCAAGCTGCTGTTTGGGGCAGCACTGGCAGAGAACAGAGATTGGTGTTAACACTGGGCTGTGTCAGAGGAGTGGGAGATGGCTGCTTCTCAGGGAAAAAAAAAGGGAGTTTCCAGAGAGCCATTCCATTGGAAATCCCACCCAGAGCAGGATCATAAAGAGCAAACAGCTCTTCGGGCTCTCCCTAGGTACTGTATTATCATGCCTGGCAGGAGAATTACATGATGATGCATTTCCATTCCATGCCCACCACAGGTGTTGTGATCCCTGGGCTGGCACGGGAGAGTCTCCAATTGATTCAGAAGGTTTGAGATTGATTGCCCATCAAGCCCATCTATTCTTTATTGCTAACGCTCCTGCCCGACTCACCCTCAGGCATGGCAGGGCAAGCCTTACTGCTTAACCCTAGCAGCCTCAGATCTGGCCGCCTGCTCCAGCCATCATGGCTGAGACATGGGACAGCCTGGGTGCAGGCTGGGTCCACGTTACAATGCATTGGCTCAGACCAAGGTCTGCCTGACCCATCTCTTGTAGCTGCCAGCAGCCTCCAGGGGAGTTTAACAACAGCACAAACACACCGGGGTACCCCTCCACCCCCCAAATGCTGTCCAGCCAGTCTGAGAGTGTGTATCTGCCCTCCATGCTTCCCAGCTGCCACTTTCACTCCAACATCATCCTCCCACGGGGTAGCAGCTAATTCAGAGCCATCAGGGTGTCATTAGCCCACCTACTGTGCTTGAATAACATGTACTTAACTGCCCAGTTACTCAGGACTAGAAGAACCTTTTGCACCTCTTCACAGCTTGATTTCATTTTGGCTACCCCAAACAACATGTATCCTCAGTAAACTGTGCTGCTTTCCTAGTTAATCATTAGTAGTGTGGTGAAAAGCAGATACCTCTGACAGCCCACCTCCACTCTGAAAGCCAGCCCTTGTTTCCCATCTTTCAGTGAGTTGTTTATCCACAGGCCCTTATCTCTCATGCCATGGCATCTGCAGGCTCAGTTTCCAAAGAGGTCTTTGCTCTGGCAGCCAGGCCCCGGGTGCTGCCAGAGGGGACTCACACTGGGCTCCACAAACTCTTGGCTGCTAAAACTCAAAGCTATGAAAAGCCTTAGCTTGAATTTAGGGCACAAGAAGACCTACCCTTCCAGGTTACCTGCTCAGAATGAAGTCAGCTCTGCAGGGAGCTGTGAGGCTTGATGTGCACACTTCTGGGAGGAGGAAGATGTAGGGCAGATCTCCACAGGGAGGAGGATGCCGCAGCCACTTCTGTGTCCATGGGGAAGGGTATGGGTCAGGGCTTTACCCTCCCAGGTGAGGTGCCGTTTTTTCAAACAGTCACCCAGGCTCAGCTCTTTCAAGTCAACCCAATTAATGGGTTGAATGAACTAAGACGGTGACTCAACCCAACTTGGTTTTCCCTACTTACTGTTGTCTTTCCTTATTTCTGTCCAAGAGGCAGAAAAGACCATTTCCACACATTTTAAATCCCTACCAGAAAACCAGCTTCTTCCAATACAACATTCCAAAACAGAGGCAGCTGCCCTGTTGTCTTGGGTCTTCCTGCGGCTGGCTGCATGGGTGCTGTGCTCAGTTCAGATTGCCCCTGACGGCAGGACTCTGCTTTGCCCTAGGTTCAGCATCGCTGCCTTCACCAAGTATGACCCAGTAGCCCCTGCAGTGACGTTCACCATGTTCTCAGGTAAGACGGAGAATGCCATCTTCCCTACCTGGCTGTGCAGGTTAGAGATAATTAACAACCTGACAATGGCAAGCCAGAGGGAGATCATAGGCTGTGGCAAATATAATAAATAGAGTAAATGCAGCCATTTACTGACTCTTACTTCTGGCCATTCTATCTCTTTGATTCCAGCTGCTGGATCTGGTGCAGACGCAACTCCACTCTCAATGCCAATAATTGCTGGAATCGTCGTGGGATTTCTCTTGACACTTGCAGCTATTTTTGCTTTGGTCTACTGGAAACAGCTCAGAGCGAAGAGGTGAGGATGAGCCATCTCTTTGCCTGGTGGGTGCAGGCTGAGAAACCCAACCTTCAGTGCCAGGCCAGGAGGAAGAGCAGTGAGAGGGTATAGAATGAGATTTAGGCAAACTAGGACACCCGCTAGTGGAGTTGTGCCTGGGAAGCACAGAAGCAAAAGGCAGAGGGGAGAGGGGAGCTGCCTGTGTGCAATTAATTCACAGAACCCTACACGTGTGCAAGGCACTGTGCCTGATGCGAGCTGTCTGCTCATAAGCATTCCGTGAGCCAGCAGTACACAATACACTCACAGCATCTGTCCCTGCACTGCAGGGAAGAGTAACATCTCCCATGCTTTGATTCTAGAACGAAGAAGAGCAGCCTGCCCCAGGAAATGGTGACCTACAGCTTGAGGTGAGTGCTGGAGTCTTCCCTCTATGCATGTCCGCACTGCAGGTCCCAGAGTCCTTCACCTACTTCCTTTCTCATGCTTTGACTTAGGAAAAATCCAACTCTGTATCCTCTCCTTCAGTTATTTTTTAAATCTTAGTCTTTCCCATGTTCAATATTTAATGCCCAGCTCCATTCCAAGTCAATGGAAGTGGAAATGCATTGTCCATACCTCCTCTGCAAGGCTTCTGCAGTAGCAGAATATCCTCATCATCCTGAAATCCCTCCCGATATTTAAACAATGCTCTGTTGGACCCACTTCCCTGGGCAATGACGTGGGCTATAAACCATCCGTGTGTGTGCATTCAGATATTGCAGGTCTCAAGGCTGGGCTGTCTCATTGGCCACCTGACTGGCCTGCCAGACCTCCCAATATCTAAGGCAAGTTTTCCTCTGGACTTCATTTCATGCAGAAACGTCCATCGGCCAATTCCCATACAGAACTTCAAGCAGTACTATGAGATGAAGACAGCAAGTGCTAACCATGCTTTTTTCCAGGAGTTTGAGGTGAGATGAAACTCCTGCTAGAGATGAGACTTAATTTCCCCTCTAGGTAGCTCATGCCCCAGCTGTTGGGTGGCCTCTATGGACTCCTCACCTCCAGGGACAGTAACCCATCTCTAGCAATCCAACCACTCTACTAGGCAATCTTGGAGGCTAAAGACTGGATGGACCAAACGATCAGGCAGTTCCTTTGCTCAAAACCTGTTTTGTTCAAGTTCTGATAGAAACATGTGTTGTCTATGGAATGAGGTGAACTAGCACTGTCCATAGCTGCTGGTGGACAAAGCTAAGGGCCCCAGGCCTGGACTGGAGGCAAAGATGCTGAGTGGTGTTGCAATGAGATCCACCTTGACAGTGTTAGAAAAGAGCATGCAGACAAAAGGAAGGTTGAGGAGCACTCTCAGAGCTATAGGGCCAGGCTGTGAAATTCGCCTGGCTAGCTTCACTGGCTCCTACTGCCAACATCTGCAGTCTCTGAATTGTTCTGCTGCCAGCACTTTTGAAAGTCCCACCAGTGATTTCAAGCCCTCCTCACATAACCCTTCTCTGGCCTTCCGAGTGAGGACAGAGGCAGAAGCAGCACAAGATGCTTCTGTTTTCTCAGCACAAAATGCTCTGAGCTTCTTGGTAGATTTCTGATTTCTGAGGGTTTTTTCCCCCCATACTTATTCTTGGGTTTGTTTTCTTTTAAATACAAACAGTGCTGTTGGAAAAGGGAAAAGCCACCTATGGCTCAGAGTACACAGGCTATCCTGAGGGAGTAGAGAAGTTCGCTGTGCATAGGTGACCCTCTTGAACGACCACACAGCCGTTGGCCATAAGCAGGGAACTGGGTTGGCCAGGAGCTCTCCAGAGAGACACTTGTGCTTATCCTCTCCCTTGTCCTACAGGAGCTGAAGGAAGTTGGGAAGGAGCAGCCAAAGGTGGAGGCCGAACTACCAGCCAACGTCTCCAAGAACAGATATCCCCACGTGCTGCCCTGTAAGTGCTGTCTCCTCCCTCCTCCCCCCAGCATCTGGGGTGGGAGTTCACGCTGCAACGCACAGGGATGAGCTCACTTTGCATCGCTTGCAGGGTTCACAGTGCCTGGCTCCTCTCCTGGGAGAAGGAGTCTTGCAAGGGGCTTCAGTTTCCCTTTTCCTGCTGGAGACTCAAGGGTTGAGCCAGGGCTGAGCCACCACCCTCCCCAGCTCCTCCAGGAGGCTGCTGGGCAGGTGCTGGCTGAGCCCAGCTCAGGGATGGGTCCCAGCTGGAGACCAAAGGGGGAACATGAGTGTCCCATGGCTTCTCCGATGAGCCTTATGATACCAGCTCTGCTTTCTTACCCCCCTGCTAAGCCAGCTGGCAGGCAATGCTCACCTCTCCAGGGAGAAGGTGCCTGGCTGAGCACAGAGCCTCACTGCTGACTGTGTACATGGAGCTAGCAGAGCTGCTGGGGCTTCTCACAGTGTGTTACCCAGGTGAAGAGGAGATGGCCGTGTCTTGGTGAAGGGCTGCCTTGGAGGGTCACGTGTGTATGGTCTCTTTCAGATGATCACTCTCGGGTCAAGCTGAGCCAACTGGGGGAGGATCCACACTCAGACTACATCAATGCCAACTTCATGCCTGTGAGATCCCACTTGCCTTCCCCACAGAGACATGGCCATGGGGCACCATCAGGGAAACTCTGTCTGGATTGAGGTTGTGAGGGCTGGTAGGCAAGAGCTGCCACTGAAGCCACAGCTGGCACAGACTGGCAAGGAGTCGGGGGTCAGGTGGAGATGCACAGTTGCCCTTTAGCAGGGGTTGATGGAGATTGTCAGATGGCAACTGCTGTGAATGCAGAGGTGTGAGTGTGACTGGTAAGGCTTTCTGCTTTCTTCTTGAGGACTATCCTCTTCCCATCCTCTCCCAGCTTACTGCCCCATCTGTCTGTCTGCTCTTTCTCCTTCTGGTCTGTGCAGCTGCATTTGAACAACCCTGGAGCTGTTCCCACATCCCCCATCCGGGAGATTTTCCCAGGTAACAGGCAGGGCACACAGCATGCATGCACAGGTGTGTGGATCCGCGGGGCATGTGTGTGTCAAAGGGGCAAAGGCAAAGAAGCAGCCTGAGACCTTGCATGCTCGCCCTACCTTCAGCAATGACCAGGGAGCACAAGAAAGACCCTGGGTAGGCTGAACGAGGAACTGCTTGGAGGGAAACGGCGGGGATCACATCTTAATTCCAAATATGTAGAGAGCACGTGTTGGGCAGCACATGCTTCCTGTGAAATCAGCTGCTTCTGAGATCAGCTGCCTGGGAACCGTGCGCGCCTGGGCTAAGGGCAACGGGCACTTCTCCCTCTACTGCAAAAGCAGACCAGGCACTGACTCTGCCCCAGGGCAGGATCCACCTGCCTCAGCAACTTGCCAACTCCTCCTGTCTGCCTCTTTCTCAGGGCTATACATCCCAGCAGGAGTTCATTGCCACCCAGGGGCCCCTGAAGAAAACAATAGAGGACTTCTGGAGGCTGGTGTGGGAGCAGAATGTCTGCAACATCATCATGCTGACAGTGTGCATGGAGAACGGGCGGGTAGGTTGGCACCACCAGGCTTCCACATGCCAGCCCCAGCCAAGCCCAGACCTGGTTGTGTGGGCTGAGCCCAAGGCTGGGTTTGTGCCCTCCACCAACCCCTGCTCAGATGTGGCTCCAGGGTAAGCACGGGCCACACAGCTTCCCCAACAGGCAGTTCTGGGGGGAACAGAGGCTGATGTGTGCAGCTCAGCATTAGCTTGGGGTGGGAAGGGGCAGAAGTGCACCTTAGCTGGAACCATGCCCATCACCCTCAGATATTTCTGCAGCGTCTGAAATTACCACTTGCCTCTGGATGAGACACTTCACATGTTCCTCTAGTCTCCAGGGATGATGAGACCCACACAGGTCCTTTTCTCTGGAGGAGGCTGAGATCCAAAGGGGAGGTGGGGCAGTGCCATGCAAAGCTCCGGGTGGGAAGGGGAAGTACCCCTGCCTGCTTCCCAAGACCTGCCCTGGCTCCCCGCACAGCTGCTGCTCTCCAGATGCTCCCAGGGAGCTGGGAGGTCACCCAGTGGGATCTGGGCCCTCACTGGCCTCACTGGGACCCTGTCTTGCCTGTGCTCTAGGTCCTCTGTGATCATTACTGGCCATCCGAATCTGCCCCGATCTCCTATGGGCAGGTCCAGGTCCACCTGCTGACGCAGAGCAGCTCCGAGGAGTGGACCATGCGCGAGTTCAAACTGTGGCATGTGAGTAAGGACCCAAGAGGACGGACTCAGGGACCTGTCAAGGGCTGGGGGTTTGCATGGGATGCAGTGGTGTTTCTCCTCGGTGGTGGTGGCATAATTTTCTTTCCCTGCCATTAGCAGGGTTCAAAGACCCAATCCCCTCTGGAGCAGCCTGCCACTGTCAACGTGTATCACCCCTGCTGTCCACCCTAGCTCTCTCTTTTCCACATCCCTGCGCTGGGACACAGCCTGCAGCTTCAAGGGCATGTTCCCTGGCAGTCAAAGGCAGGTCTCCTCCTTGCCAGCTCCACATGCCTCACCATGGCAGGGGACCATGGGGGAGAACAGGGGAGCAGGAGCCACCAGGCAGTGCAGCAGACCTGGCGTTGGCTGTTCCCTGCAGCTGAGCCGGGTGTTCCCAAGACCCTGGGTGCTCCCAGGGCTGCGGGGTGCATGCATGCCCCTGTCTCAGTGGGCTACACACTGATCACCAACATCCCCCCTGGCAGGAGGGTCTTCAGGTAGAGCGGCACGTGTCCCACCTGCACTACACGGCATGGCCCGACCATGGGATCCCAGAGTCCACGACTTCCATTATGACCTTCAGAGAGCTGGTCCGGGAGCGCATCCAGAGCACCAAGGACGCGGGGCCGACCCTCGTGCACTGCAGGTGAGGCTCTGCTCCAGGGGATGGCAGGAGGGGATGATGGGAGAGAGCATGGGGGGACAAGGGTCCTATTTGTGCACAAACTGGGAGTGAAAGCAGGGCCCAGGAGATGCAGCTGGTCTGTAGAGAGTGTCCTGCTTGGGTGTTGGGGACTACAGGTCTGCTTGCAGGCTGCCCCCCAGTCCCAGGGGACGGGGCAGCTGGACATGGTCAGCACCAACCCAGGGCAGTGTGTGAATGGCTCCTCAACCCCATGCTGTGCTGGGACCAGTGCCCCAGGGTGCAGCATCTGGGAGCCATGTCTAGCAGCGAGAGGGGAGCCCATCGGCTGTGGGTCAGGCGATGTTTAACTCTTGCTGTCTGTGGTCTCAGTGCCGGGGTGGGCCGCACTGGCACCTTCATTGCCCTGGACCGGCTGCTGCAGCAGATGAAGCAGGAGAAGGTGGTGGACACGTTTGGTGTTGTTTACGCCTTGCGGATGAACCGCTACCTGATGATTCAGACGCTGGTAAGACCTCTGCTACCTTTTCCCCCAGGCCCCTTGCTCCATGGCATAAAAGCTACCTAGGCTGGCAGACAGATGAGCTGGCCAGCCAGCCCCAGCACCCCTAGGCCGGTCCTCAACCTGACACTGTGTCACAGTGCCGCTTAAAGCAGCAGCCCAGCTGCAGTGGAAATTGCTCGGCTCTGGGGGTCTCCAGCAGCTTCATGCCCTGCCAGACTCACAGCAGCAACATGTAGAGTTTCAGAGCCCTCCCAGGAGGCTCAGAAACAACCCAGAGCACCTAGGAGCAGGATCAGGCCCTTTGCAGGCAATTCTTAACCCACACCATATTGTTGGCCTGTGATGGCCACAGCCGATCTAATATTTCCAGTACTCAGGGTTGGGACAAGGTGTCATTACTACCCTTCAGGACAGACAGACAGACCCAGTGGAGGGATCCAGGGGCTCTGAGATTGAAGTAGCCAGGGCCTTTTGGGCATGAATGTAGGGCTTTTGGGGCATGAATGTAGGACACCCTCTGCCCACTAGGCAGTGCCATACCCACCCTTTCATGCTGTCTGCGTGGTGCAATGCTCTACATTGCTGTCTGCCTTTGCCTTCCAGTCCCAGTATGTATTTCTGCACAGCTGTATCCTGGAAAAGATCTTGGAGGAACCACTCCTGGGTTTATCAAGGACAGAGAGGTAAAGGCCTCCTGCGTTTTGCCTGCCACTCTACCCATCCTGATCCACAGCCCCTTCAGGCAGCAAGCTGGGATCCTGACCCCAGCTTGAGCCTGGGCTCCAGGACAGAAGGACAGGGAAGTCCAGCCAGCCGTCCCACCCGGTGTTTTAAGGGGGGTCAGCCCAGGGCTGGTTGTTCCCTGCAGCATGGGGAGCCCAGCCCACAACTGGGTGTGAGTCACTGGTCACACTGGGAGGGCTTGGGGGACCACATCCTCCTCTCCTCCAGTGCCACTCTCCTGGGCTATGCCAATGCTAAAGAGCTGCAGAGCTGTCCTGGGGAAGGCATTTCAACCAGCCCCTGGATTCCCAACCCACAGGGATGGGTTCAAACTGGAGGGACTTATGGCAGCTGCGTGGCCTTGGGATGTCCCTTCTAACGGAGGCCAAGAGGAGGGAGCAGGGTCAGGCTGGGCATGGCTTCACCCACCTTCCTCGTTCTCTCTGAGGCTGCATCTGGAGGTCATATATGTCTATAGTCAAATTCTCTCCTCCCTCATTCAGAACAAGATGCCCTTGTCCTTGCTGCATCTTGGGAATGGGCCCTGGGCTGTGCCAGACCTGAGACCTGCCTTTGTCTAGGGGAGAGCAGGTTGGCACAGACCAGAGCTGGGCTGAGGACCTGCAAGGGCCCTGGCATTTGAGCAGTGAAGGTGCCTGTCCAACTACTGCAGACAGCCTGGATGCTGCTGAGGTTGCTCAACCTCACCCTTACCCCCAGTTTCTCTCCCCAGGTCCTGCCCCATCCCGCTGAAAAACTTTGCTCAGCACTATGCCCAGAAGACAGCAAAGTCCCATGTGGGCTTCCTGAGGGAGTACGAGGTGAGAGCTGTCCTGGGCAGGGTGCAGGGAGCGCTGCCATGGCCATATGCACTGGAGGGACCTGGGGAGCGATAGCACCTGGTCAGGCTGGGGGACACGCAAGAAGTGCCTCCTGAGTGGGTCCCATGCCCCAGTTTCCACATGCCTGGCTGCCCTGGCAGTGTCCCCTCTCCATGGCATTGCGTCCGAGGGACATAGCTCCCTCATACATCCTGCACTGATCAGGGTCTGCCCATGACCCCCTCCTTACCTGACCCCATGCAGGGTAGGGACCTACCTGAACACCATTCTCCTACAGAGAAATGCAGCCATCTCCTGATGGTGCAGAGCAGACGTGGTAGCCTGCCCCAGAGGTTGTCACATAATACCCCTGATAAGGCTTCTGCATGTGCAGCTATAACTACCCTCTGCTGAGGCCAGGCATCCTCGGGAGTCCCCAGTTCCTCCTGCTCCTCCTGACCCTTCCTTCACTCTCTTTCACTCTGGCAGACCCTCCTAGAGGTTGTCAAGGAAGAAGCCAGCTCTGCAACACCATCTTCAGGCAACCAGCAGACACGATCCTCTTCCAGCATCCTTCCATGTAAGTGCTGTGACACCTTGCATCCTCTTCGCTGGTGTACCTGTGTGGAGCTGGGCTGGACCAGGGCCGCTGCTCCACAGCACAAGAAAATATCTTGACACACTGCAGTAAGTCCACCAGAAAGCTACCAAGGTGTTCTGGGGGTGGAGCACATGATGTATGGGACTGAGATAGGTGGGTTTGTTCAGCCTGGAGGAGAGAAGGCAAAGGGCAGAGCTTATTGCTATCTTCAACTACCTGCGGGGAGGGCACAGAGAAAATGTAGAGTCTTCTCAGAGGTGCACCATGGAAGGACAAGAGGCAATGGGGATGATTTGGAAGGGTAATCCAGCTCAGTATAAGGAAAAAAGAATTCCCATGAAGGTGGCCAAACACTGGAACAGGGGCCCAGAGCATGTGCAGGCTCTCCATCCTTGGAGATATGCAGATCTCCGTTGGCCAAGACACTGAGCAACCTGCACTACACGTATCTGCTTTGAGAAGGACGTTGGGATAGAGACCTGTGAAGGTCCCTTCCCACCCACAGAAAAGGATTCCCCTCCAGCATCTCCAGAACAAGCCCCAGGGCTGTCTTTTGGGGACCAATGTCCATGAGCTGGACAAGAGCACTGCAGAGGGGAGAACCTTTGCAGAGAAATGGTGAATGGGGCGTTGGATTTGTGCGGAGTCTGGGAGTCAGTCTGCAGGAGCTGTGTGAGTGCAAGGCTGCCCTGGCTCCCTCCACCTCCCACGTATTTTGCAGACGATCGCTCCAGAGTGAAGTTCTCCCTGCTGGAACAGGGCCCTTTCTCAGGTCTCCTGCAGGTGTGGCGCATCCCGGTGAGTCGTACCCCCAGCAGCAATGCCCACCCCCATGCCTGGGTCCTGCCACAGCTGTTTCCCATCCTCACCCAGTCCCTGCTGCCTGGATCCTGCACTGCTCCACCAGTCACTGCTGCTGTGACTCTGTGTGGACAAGAGGGGACTGTGGGGACTGAGGATGTGTCTTGCCTCACTCCTGGGGCCCTGCCCAGTTTGGGCTGTCCTCACTTCCCTCCCGCGGTGCTTTCTCCTCTCTCTTCGCCTCCTGACCTGCTGAGCTTCCGTTCTTTTCTTGGCCTCTCCTGCAGCCTCCTGGGCTGATGGGGTACCTGTGCCACCCTCTCCAGCAGGAGAGTGACATTCTCGTTCCTCACCCAGGGCTGCAGCTCCAGCAGGGAGTATCTGGCTGTCCAGGGGCCTGACAAGTTGACCATGGAGGACTTTTGGACCCTGGTGTGGGAACAGGATGTTCATACCATCCTAACTCTTCTCCCATGGCAGGAGAAAGGGGAGGTAAGGTGCTGTGTCTGCCTGCGCCATGGCAGAGCAGGGATCTGTTTAACAGCTGGAAGCTAGGGATCTGTTTAACAGCTCTGAAACTTGAACTCTTGTCACTGCCTCCTGAAGCCTGGGTGCAGATCCAGCTTGGCTAAAGCTGAGCCTTTCCTGTGTCAAAGTGCTCCCACTGCTTGTCATGGGAGACAGGTTCTGTCTGCCCACCATGCAGTCCATGGCTGTGGACTCAGCTGGTACTCTTTAAGCTGCATCTCCATGGCACCCAAGGACAGCAGCTCCAGCTTCTGTCCATCTGAGGTGGAGAGCGTTTGCTGAGCAGATTCCCACTGCCAAGCAAGCTCTGTGTTAACAGGAAAGCTGGCTGCAATCTGCTGTTGTTTCCAAAAACTCCCCCAGGGTTTAGCTAGGGGATGAACTGACATGGAGTGATTGGAGGTGACTGACATTGGGGGTGCTCTTGGTCCAACCCCATCACAGACCCCTGTGATGGTGACTGATCTGAAATATGGCAACCGTCAACATGAAGCCAAACTTGCTGTTGTACACAGGTCCCAAGTGAGGCGTGCTGGCCCCTGGAAGGAGACTCTCTCTGCACAAAGATGCTGACTATCCAGTATGGCACGGAGAAGCTTGTCTCCGGATGGAGGTGTATCCAGCTCAAAATGAAACATGTATGTGTTGATGGGGCTGGCCTGGCTCCCACTGCCTGGGATGTTCTTCACTTCTAGTGAACAGGTCTGTAGGGGCAAGACCTGAAAGGTCTGTGAAGACTTGTCTGAGCTGCAAGAGCAGAGTGCCAGCAGTCCACAAATGCAGGAGGGAATCTAGATTGCAACATCCAGAAGAGCATCTGCTCAGTGGACATGGGAGATGCGCGGGAGAGGCTTGGAGGCTTCCCCTGCCCCTTGCTGATAGGTCTTTCTGACCCTCTTTGAACAGGCCCACACAGTTCTCAGTCTCCCTCTCAAGGGACAGGTCAGGGTGCCATGGGGAAGGAGAGCAGGTTGCCAGAGGCACCATACCCACTGCGCGGGTGATGGGCAATGCCCCAGCAGAGGCTGCCTGGACAGCTTTACAGAAGCTAGCAGTTAGCTCGGGAAAGCATCTGACATCCTAAGGATTGGAGAGCTGGGACCCCTCTGCATCCAAATTCACCCATCCCTCCCCAACAGCCATGTCAACTCTTTGTGTCTCACCAGGAGAAGAAAGCAAAGGAGAGGCAGGTACAACGGTTCCTATACACGTTCTGGAGCAGCAAGAAACAGCCAGATGTCCAGAGCCTGGTGGAGCTCCTCACTGCTGTCAGACGGTGCATACCCCACCGAAAAAGAGCCGGTCCTCTCCTGCTGCACTGCAGGTACATCACGTTACTGCTCCATCCATGGGCAGCACAGTGCCTTGGCATGGCCACCAGCAAGCCTGCGCCCTCCACCAAGGACGCCAAGGTTTTGGGGCATGTTGAGAGTAGGTCCATGGGAGCCAGGGAAGCTCTGAGCTGGGGAGGTCAGATGAAGCAGTGCTCCGCCAAGCGCATGGGAGAAAGGAGGGCAAACAGGGCTGGGCCAGAGCCAAGCGTGGATGGAGCAGGCATCCCTGGACTGAGGTGCCTGGGCCATCCCTGGGCTGACTGCTAGGATCCTGGGAGCAGCCCTTGACATCCTCATCTGCTTGCAGCCAAGGAGACCTCACAGTCCCACAGGAGCTGACACAGCCGGCACATCGGCAGAGCTGGCTTGGGTGAGGGATGCACAGCTCAGCAGGGCAGGGTAGGCTGGGTCTCCAGGCTCTTTCAACAGACACTTTGGGGTCCCATGCCCCTGGTCAGCACAGGCCTCCCTGCCACCTAGACCAGTGCTCACACTCCCCTATCCCCACCGTACTCAGTTTGTATGTTTTCTCATGGGGCTTCTGACGACTTGGGCTGGTGCCCACTTCCAAAGAGGTTCAGCTCAGCCTAGCCTGGCATCAATGACCTTCCCTTGTCCCTTGCAGCAGTGGCGTGAGCCAAATGGGGACACTGATCTCCCTGGATTGCCTGTTGCACCAGATGAAAGCCGAGAGAATGGTGGATGTCTACGGGGTGACCCTCCAGCTGACGAGAAGCTGCTGTCTCATGACCCCGACGCTGGTAGGTGGGAAGGAGGAAGGGTGGTGAGCTGGGCAGAACAGGGCATTCATGCTGAGCTGCCTGGAGCTGGCAGCATGCTGCCCACTCCCCGGGCGCTACCTGCCACCTGGGAGCCCCTCCAGCCTGTGCAGGGATTTATTCCATGCTTCCTCTGCCAGCCACCGAGGGCTAATGGCAGTGTCTTTTCCCAGGGAAGGGCTTTCCACCTCCTCAGTTCTGGAGTTAAAATAGGTTAAATTGCATGTGAGCTCACAATAAATGCAAGGCATTCTGCCCTGGAAAGCATGAAGCGCTGGTCTCATCCTACATGATAAACGTGGCCTCTGGACACGGCTGTCAGCCTGGGCACCCAGAATCTGCTGGGTCTCCCCTTGTCCGGTGCCTTTCCCTGCCGCGTCCCCCATACCCAGAGCCTTCTCCCAGCCCCTGCCTGCTGCCAGAGCTGGGGCCGAGTCAGTGGGACACGCTGCCACATTTGCAGCTGCCCTGCAGCCGCATGGGCTGTGGTACTGTCTGATGGTGCTGCAGCCGTGCCCTGCCCGTGCAGTGCCAGCCCAGCCCAGCCTCACAGGCCTCCAGCGTGCCACTCCTGATTGGCGCTGGCGGCACAGATGCCCTCTGGACAGCGCTTTCATTTGCTGCAAATGCTGAATGAGCTGATGCAGCATCCCTGGAAACCCTCCCCACAGGGGACAGCAGAATTGGGGCAGATCTCTCTGGGGCTTCCCAGCTGCAGAGCCGCCTGCAAGCAGCTAATCGCATTCTTAATTAATGTGAACCATGCGCATGGTGGGAGCCGGAGGAGGGCAAGGCGTCCGCTGCCCCTGCTTCAGAGCTCCTTTGTATTTCAGCAGCGGTCTTGCCGAGCAGAGACACAATGTGCCCATAAAGGCACAGCAAGCACCGATCAAAAGCTGCTGCCCCACTGAGGGGGGGCAGCGGAGGCAGCTGCCTCCCCACCTTGCCATGAGCAGTGGTCGCTCTGATCCCAGCATGGCCAGCGAAGGACAGGCAGGGATGCCGTCCAGCCCCACGCTGCTGCCATGTGGCTGCCAGCCTCCTCCATCACTGCGGGGGCTTGCCAGGACCCCTTTATCTCTGGCGGGGGCACGCTGCTGTCATGCTGAGGGCATCAGCTGATTTTTTGGGGGGGTTAGTAGCCAAACAAGTGGGAAGATGAACCTTTGAGGGATTGTCCATGGATAACTGCCGGGTATTTAGGCACCCCCAGCTCCAGCATGGTGCGTGTCTCTGGGGATGTGCTCTTGCATTTGGCCCAGCATTGAGTGTGCCTGGTCTGAAGTCAATCCTGGGCTGTCACTCCAGATTTCACAATCAGGCTGGGCTCATTGAAAACATGCTCTGGTGACCTGGAACCACAGCCATTGTGTGATCTGTGGCTTTCCCGGCCCTTCAGTGGGGCTAAACCCACCACCGGCAGGGGAGGAGGCTCCTCGTGACTTGCAGCTTAGCCAGCGCATTAGTGAGCTGTTTGGGGGCCCCTCTGTCGAGTCCCTAATCCCCCCTTCCTGGCCACCATGTGATTTCGACCCACATCGTTTGCAGGCTGGCTTTGCCCTCCAGCTTTGTGCATTGAGTACAATCTCATTTACCTTTCCCACATCTTGCCTTTCTTGGAGCCCTGCCATGGCAGTAGTCAGTCCTGGGTGTTTTGTAGACTAGCATCATTTTGGAGCAGCCTGGCATTTGAGCAGAACCTCATATCAAACCTACAGTGGGCTTGAGACCTCTGGACCCACATTTGGTACTGATGGATCATTTTGGTGATCTTAAAAATAGAGAAAGGATGCAACTGGACTAAAACCACCCAGATCTCTTTGTCTACCTCTGAGAGCTTGCAGAGACCTACCCTGATCCACTGTCAGCACTTGATTCAGGTACACTGAGACTACCACCAAGGGAAATTCCTGCTCCAGAGGTCTTCCCTCCTGGCCTCAGGTCACTGCCAGACGCTGTGCACTCCAGCAGGGCAGAGTTCTCCCCACTCACTGCCCTGCAGCATCACTGGAGTTGCTCTTTGGTCTCGTTTTGGATGCAAACACCATGGCACATCCAAAAGCCACCGGGGCACTTTGAGGAGCTCAGATGACATTGTTCGTCCCCATCTCAGATGGGGATGTTCCGCTCATCCCCATCACGGGGATGATGAAGCAGGAGTAACATTACAGACATGGTGTAACTACAGCTCCAGGCCTGATTCTTCCTTTCTGGGCAACTCTGGTGACAGGAAAAACATAGACCACTTGGGACAGAAAATCCTGCTCTGCCATCAGACACTGTTAGTTAATTAGGACCTTTTAAGGCAAATTGCAGGGTTAGTCCTGCAACCAGGAGATCTCTGTCAGAAACCTGACTGCAGACCCCCTTTCTCTCTTGCAGGACCAGTACATGTTCCTGTACACCTGCATCCGGGACATCATCGCTCAGAAACAGCCCTAACACCACCCGGCACTTCCTGGCACCGTCCTGCCCTCCACCTCTGCAGGGTCCTGTCTGGAGCCAGGAGCTGGGGTGAGAGCACCATGGGGCTTCTGGCACAGAGCGAGCCCTGCAGCGAGAAGGGACCTACCCTGGCACTGTCACCAATGCGTCCCACATGGTGTTAGCAGTGACATGGGGTCCCCCGAACAGATGGGCAGTGCTGTCCTGCCACACACTGCTTGCAGCCCCTCAGTGCAGACATGGTGAAGGCCTGGGCAGGATGCTCCCCTGCTTTGGCCGTCTCCTGGGATTCCTGGTGCCTGGAAGTTTTGTTAACCCCACTGCGGTACACGGCGCCGGCTGGGAGAGCTCTGTGGTGGCCTTGTCCCTCAGCACAGAAGGGGCAGCCCTGGGCTCGCTCCCGGACAGCCCTGGTGCCTGCAGGCTGCTGAGGTCTGACACGAGCACTGGGCACCGCGGTCTCCATGCGCCCATGGGCACCGGGTGTGTTGATGTCCCAGACACCACTGTGGGCAGAGCATGGTGGGAGCTGGCTTGTTTCGGCTGGGGGGTCAGTCTTAGGGACAAACAAAAAACAGCACCAG